ACTAAAACATGTTTTTCTTGCATAGGATTTTGACCATGATTTTCCACTTGAGCACTAAGCAGAGACCAGTGACAGCTCTGCGAGCCACACATCCATCCAAATGTGTGTCAAAACAGTTGATGCTGATTCATTTTAGTGAAAAACTTTCCATCATCCATTGTACAGCTCACTTGAAAAGGACTTCTATCTGCAGCTAAATTCATCCTGAGTCTTGCCAAACCTCAATGGGGATTGAAAGGAAAATTGTAGGCTGGTAGTGGAAGGCAACTCATCAGGCCTCCTTGAGTGGAATCGGATCAAAATGTTGCCTCAGAATAATTAATAGAAAGTGTAGTATTGCTCAGGGTTTCAAGAAAATATGTCAGTGTTGGACCACACACTAACGCTGGAGTTATTTTTAGAACCAGGCTTAAATCGGCCAACAGATAACCAGTCCAACCAGTTTAGCGGCGACTCGAGTTGGTTATGTCAGACTATGATCCGTGTTGAAGCATTCGTTAAGCATACAGTGTTGTTTCATAATGTTTCATCATTACTTGCACATTGCGATGCTGTTCTTACCTCAACCTGGCAGCCCCCCCTCCCCGCTGTTCAATGAGGCAGCGGCTCCAATGCGAGTCATTAAAGGGAGAGAAAGCTCAGCTGCACAGCCTTCAGCTCACTGTACCGCCCTGCTCTCATAGCTGGCATTTCTCAGATAAGAACCAGCCAGCACAACTGATTTACAAGGCTCCTCTCCTCCCTCTGTATGACTCTCTGTGTGTGCGTGTGTGTGTTTTCCTTGATTTAAAAAGACTCAAAGTGTAATAAACTATCATGAAATACTCCACCAGCAAAAACACATCAACCTGCAAATCACATCACAGCATTCAACGCTTGTTCTCCATCTGTCATACAGCAGAGGTGTGTGTGTGTGTGTGTGTGTGTTTACTGTATTTTCAGTTTGCACATGTTGAACCTAAATCTTTCTCTTCATCCTCCTCCTGTTTTCTTTTTCCAGGGTGTGTGTGTGTATAATGTTTCCTCTCTGGTGTTCCTTCAGCTTATTGGGTGTATATGTTTACCTCACTTCCATTTCTTAACACTCTCATACTTCTGTTCTCCCTCCTTCTCTCAGCAAGTCATTCGATACCAGCGTCGATAGGGGAGGGGAATTCCAAGAATGCAGGCGTTAACTCCTTCTTTTATTGGATTTCCAGCCACCAGGGCTTTTCTGAATACCAGCGGTTCCAGAGCATCCTTACAGAGTAACTTAACACCGAGCTGGAAAGCGTTCATTTCACTGACCTCTTCTGGTTGACCACACCCAACAGTGATGTCGTAGTGCACTGGCCACACCCAGAGTACACTTCTACATCACTGCAGCAAGTCAACCACAAGGGGGAGCAGCAAGAATAACTGTATAAAGAGAACTGGATACAGCGCAGTCCTATTAAAGCCGTTCCCTGGCGCTTGAAGACAAAAAAGCCAGTTCCCGCTGCAAAGAAATTACCCAGACTTCTTCTGGCCCAGCCGGCTAACTTCTGTTTTAGCCCTCTTAACTTGAATGCTGATAAATGATTTAATCTTGCGAAATCTTATTGAATCGAATCAAATTTTATCAGACTGAATGGATCAAATTTTGAATTGAAACGAGTCATTATGTCGTTTTACAGCCACTTCTTTCATGAAGTATTTTTGGGCCAGTGTGCATCACGTAACACCATTGCTGTAATTACACGGTTCGGCCATTCTGTCAAATTGGCTTCAAAGCTGTGTGCTCCTCCTTGGGGGTTTGTATCTACAACTGTCATTAAGTTGCTCTTTAAAGAAGTCCTTCTTTAGGCCAATGCCATTTTCAGTCAACAGAATAGCTGTGTTGGCAGTTGCTAGCAGCAGTTTTTCTCGCTAATCATATAACGGATTTAGGGGTATTATTTCTGTAAGATGACTTTTACACCTGCATCGATCTTGCGCACAGCATTTTTGTGCCAATATTTCTGTTAGTGTTCATTAAAGTTGAGCAAGTACTTCGCTGAAATGATGTGTCAGTGTCCTTACTTGTAAGTATAGCCACTATTGTTAAAAACTTGAAGTAAAATGGTGGCATTAAACTTTACAAAGCTTTCATAACATTTCTTAAAAGGTGTAAAAGGTGAAGTGGAGGACACAAAGTTTATGGTTAATTACATGAAATCAGGACAGTAAAGACTTTCCTGTCCTCCTGTCCTGCTTTATAAACTGTTTAATTAAGGAAAGAAATTACTGCCACAGTTTTTATCTCCTTGTGACTGAATTATTCTGTTCATTTCAATAAATGAAAAATCTCTCCCATATGAGTCCCTTGAACTCTTTAGGGAAATGTATGAAAATGTATAAACATCCTCACTGTTACTTTACACATGAAATTTTAGTGATCCACAAGCTAATAAGGAATAGAAACATAAACAGCCACCACTGCTCTTGAATTCTAGAGTGTTTATTAAGTCCCAAGGACATTGTGTGCTGCGATACAGAAGGTTGTATTTACCGCTGGAAAGATGCAGGATCGATTGACAGATGGTTGGATGGATGCATAATATCCAGTTAATTAAAGAGTGAACATGTTAAAATCCTTCCAACTGTCCCTTCTTTCCTTTTAATAAGTCACATGACTTTGTAAGAGGAGCAACATGTCCTCCACTGGAAAACTAGCTGAGTAGAGATTAACAAACAAACAAATGAATAATGAATGAAGTGAAATTTTGTTCATGGAGTTAGCTGATTAAGTTGTGGTCTCGATGATATTGTGAATATCATATTTATTGGTAAATACTGGCAACCTTGATAAAGGGTGACTTTAGTGTCACGTCTGGCATCAGTCAGGCATATCACTATTTTCTGATATTTTAAGGGATAAATTGATTAATTGAGGCAACAATCAGTGAATTAATCCACAAAAAAAAAAATAATTTAATTATGCTACCAATGTACATACAGTGCTCGTAGAAATATTTGTAAAGGAGATGCAGATTTATAGCTTCGGGAAAAATGAGTGAGTTGATTGTTTAAACCGTTATCTTGCAGCTTAACTGATCACATGTTAAGTTAGGATCTGTCTGATTGAGCTCAGTGGAGGATTGATCAATCACGCTGTACTTTTATTTTGTGGTTATTCATTAGAGCAGCACATCACAATGTCGGCATAAAGAAAACTTTCTTTCTACAAGTTTCGAAAGGTAGAATATAGAAGAAGAGCAGGTGTGGATGTGTACGGAAAAAACAGGCTGAAGTTAGTTTGATAATCACCAACTATCTATATGTCTATATGCAGTATATATGGCTGGCACTGACCACCTCCACCAACCAATTTCCAGGGGCATACTCTGAGAAATACCTCATTACATTTGCCATGGATGATGCATTTTTAAGTGATGTAGCCAATTAGAGGTCAACCACTACAAGTTTTTCAGTGGCTGATGCCAATACTCAGAGAGAAGGGCTGCCGATGGCTGATACACAAAACAAAAAGTCATGTATAATTCAGGCATATTTACAGCAGGATGCGTGAGAGTTACAGTACAGGGCTGGAAACCGACTTTTTCACCACCTAATGATGCTGACCTGGATCCAGACTCTAAACATTTTCTTTAATAAAGATAATCAATGATTCATAGGGTGGTGTATATACATCCCAACATATCAGGTGCATTGACAAAAAGTTTCCAGCACACTGATTAGATTTATTAAGTAAAATTATGAGGTTTTATTACATTTGCATCTGGTAATTTTCAAGGTCCATATACAGCTTCACTTGATTTAACCCAGGTTGAGCCAATCTATAAATGAACCGTCAGTAATCGAATTGTACCTGAAGGAGACAGTATGTCTGAACATCATTTAACTTAATAAATTGTCGTTTTGGTTACCTCTATTCAGTGTGCAGGACCCTTTTTCTCTATGATAAAGATAACACATTTAGAGCACTACGCAGCCTTGCCAAGACTATTGACTTTTTGAGTGCTTTTCTTTTTAATTCATGCCCAGCCAAATCAAATTTCGAAGCTCTGTTTCCTCTACATCCATTTTATATACGCTCAAGATCTGATCTTAGATCAGCTGCATCTTGCCAAACTCAAGTCTGTCCTTCCTGAAACTTTTTCACTCTCTGCTGTTGCCTTTGAATTTAAGATGCAATTGAATGCAGTGTCCCTTTGTATGAGGCTTGATGGAAAGTGGTCCTACATGGGCAGAACCTGGATCAGGATGTCCACCATGAAAGACGTTTAATCAATGGTAACTGTGAAGTATTTAAAACTATGTTAATCAGAGGTTGTTCATGGTGCCAGGCTGTGGAGTTAAGTGTTCTGACTCATGGATGATTGGTAGTGTAGGTGGTTGATTAGTTTGGTCCAGATTACATGGACCACTAAAGTCTGATTAGGCTGAGTCATAGAAAAAGTTGGAGGCTGAGTGTTGCTACCATTAAGTGTATTTAGCATCTATGTGCGTGTGTATGTGTCCTACTTTGTCAAGTACCCCCTCCACCCCCAACTAGCTGAGATAATGTGTAGGCGTGATCTCCTCTAAAGTTGACTTCCATGCTGTTCCTATCTCTTCAGTTTTTAGCTGTTTCTCTGCATAATTAACCTTCCCTCAAATTGCAGTTTGTACCTCATGGCTTTAATTTTGTTAATTTACATGTTTTAACTCTAATTGACCGCTCAGGCTGATGAAACACTTACAGAATCCCATGGGGGGATTCTTATAAAACTGTGATTTAAGCTAAAAATAGTTCACTGAGGATTTCATCCAGTAGTGATGCTATTAATGTTCAAACTGTCGCTGTTCTTGTTCACGTCAGCCCTGAACGCGTATATATGTTTTGTTATTAGGCTCTTTGTCCAGTTCGAAAAGGGAACAATGAGTAATTTGCCAAGTTTGAATAAAGTATAATGGTTTCTTTAATTGGCATGAACAATCTTGAAATCAAAATTGACCGAACTGCTAAATAATAAATGTAACTTCTGTGTTTTGTGCAGGAGAGGAGAGTGGGGCGGTTCATGTCATTACAGTTCAACAGGCTTGAACACTGAACAGGTAAGGAAAGACTTAATCAATTCGGCTCTCTCCCTTTTTTTCACATCTCTTATCTAATCTTACTTTTGACATATTTTGCTTCTAAATGACCTCAGACACATATTTGGCAATCCTGTACTGCTGTTTCTGTACAAACATATTCTCCCATAGCAATGTATCAGTGATAAGCTCATGTTGGCTAATATTGGCCGGCTCCTGGCTAATCCAAAAATGAGCAATAGACTAGGCTGTTGGCCAATGAAGCGGCCATGCCCTTAAATATGAATAAATTGTAACCTTGATATAATTAAAATGGGTGAGTTATAAAAAATGATCCATCCCTTGTTGTCATGAATGGTGAAATTAGCTGCATAGACTGAAACTGTTTTTTATACCAGACTGTAAGCATGTTTATTTCAGTCTCAGCTGTACTAGATTGTAACTGATATAGCATGCTAATCATACAAGTCAAATGTCTGTAGACCTTTTGCCTCCACTACCTCCTCCAAACAAACTTTTAAGCTCTCTTACTTACTCTTACTCTTACTCTTTTGGTTTTTTACTAATCTTGGCTTGCTTGGACTGATTACCTGTTTTGTAGTTGCTAGACACAGAAACTATGACACATTAAAAGTTATTACCGAATAAAAAGTTATTAGTTATTGTTAAAATCTTTTGACAAATTGTTTCTTAGTAGCACAACTTCAGAGGCCTGGTACTGGTCCGTGGTCTGGGGATTTGGGGGAATGTCTGGGGAATGTTTGTGTGTCTTTAACAACATGAAATTGACACTGTATACAGACGATTAACCCTTTTGAGTCTTGTAACAAAATGGCCTTTCTTCTGGCACCATGCTGAGACCAAACTTTATGTGTTGTTGGGTTTTTTATGTGTTGTTGGGTTTTTTATGTGTTGTTGGGCCTTACTAGTGGTAAATATTTTTAAACAACAAACATGTCTCTTTTTTTCATCCCTCCAAAAACTTTTTCTCGTTAGTTTTCTGTTGTGTAATGAGTATTACAGCCTCATGGGGCATTTAGCACGCTGTGTTGGTTTTTTTTTCTGCTTTTCTTTCTATAGGCTATGTCATATAAAATTCTCATAAAACCAGTTCATTAAATGGGAGTTGCTGTGTCAACACATAGTATTCCGGAGTTCTTACCTAATTATTTGGCTTTATTACACATACAAACACATCATTTCTCTTGTGTGAAGCCTTTTAGTGTGTATGTGTTGGAGTGTGAACACATGGGAGGCTGTCAGAGTGATAAAAAGCATACAGGAAGGCAAGTCTGATAATACAGCTGATACAGGAAGTGGTTCAGCTGTAATAATAAAGCATTTATGGAACTGTGCTGATGTTTGTCTTTAGTACAATGGGTGACCGGTGTATGTATATATGTAT